CTTTCCCAGTAACTGAGCAGGTGTAGGTCTAGGTCTAAGGCAGATCTTTGTGACGGCAAGAAAACCTAGTTTATTCCTCTTTATAACTTAACTTTGAAGTTTGGCTTTTGGCTTCTAAAAGCAATATTCTAATCTACAGCACTGCCTATCTGACACTTTGAATAGATCTTGCCATAATACTGACAATTTTTGTCACCACTGACTATTGCTGCACTGCCTGAGAAATAGATGAAAACCTAAATAAACAGGCTTCCTCATAGCATCATAGAATCATTTAGGTTGGAAAAGACCTTTAAGTTCATCAAGTCCAACCATTAATCTAACACTGCCATCTCACCAGTAAACCACGACCCTAGGTCATCCATTTTTTGATTATCCCATTTTTCTATGGTGTCTGTTCCCAGCTGATGGCAGAATGCTGTGTCTCTGCTCTTTCCCGCCACCCTCAGACCAGCAGATGGTCACAGCAGAGGCACCTGAAGGAATGACCAGTGCTCTACAAATGCTGTCGGCAGTTCCTAACCTCCACTGTAACACAGCAGGATGGGAGCATCTTCCCCACAGTTACTCCCCGAGGACTTCTTGATGAACTCTACTCCAGTAAAAGACTGCTCCACATCACTCTTTATGTAAGAAGCACTTTGGTATCCGGCACAGGGGTGTGCAGCCAGGCACAAAGAGCACATTCTTCTCTATCATGAAATATGTATGCTAACCTCTTGGGTGCCAGCTAAAATGTGTGATGTACATCTCACACAAGCACATCAGTATAACTCTACCGATGCATCATTTTCTTTTCTTCTTGCACCTTTTAAGGGCGCAGTACAGGAAAGCTTTAAACAGAATTTTACTGCTTTAACTGTGTGCTGAAAGCATAGTTTTCAGTATGCATTTTTATTGCTTGTTTACAGTGAACATACACATTAAGGAACAGGTAGTGTCCCCATTTATACCCAACAAATCAGTTGTGCAACTGAAATGCAATTCTCTGACTGATGCAGGATGCTAAGGGTGTCAATACATATGGTTAACATGTTATTACGGCTCCTCTGTCCCTCCCTCAGAGAGCAATCATCATCTCCTGTTCTTCACAGTCAAGATCTTATAAACTACCTCTTCTCCTACTTCTTCAGAGGTGAACTGGAAGAAATGAAAGATTAGGGTAGGCTTATCAACATATGTTTCATCTTCACAAAAATGCTTTACAAAAAATGAGTTTGAAATTCAAATTTCCTAAGAATGAAACAAACCCCTTCATGTAGTGTTTGTGCGTGAATGTATTTATCTATTTAGCTTACAAAACACTTATGCCACAGAAATTTTTCAAGTCTTTATGTGCATTTCTGTCTATACTACAAAGAACTTCTCAGAAGGTAACAAAAACATGCCTCTCCTTAATATCCTTGATATTACATTCATTAGATTTCCACAGGTTTTTATGTTACTGTAACTTTTTCAATGCCTTTTCCCAAACTGTTTTCTTTCTAATCTTTTCTACATTGCAGAAGTATCACAAAAACAACTCACGATGGAAAACCTTTTAGCGTTAACTCAAGTAGAAAACCTTGCTTACAAAGAGTGATTATATAAGCTCAGATAGGTAAGTTGAACATAACACAGTAACAGATATATATATATGCAACTGCTCAAATCTTAGATGAGACTGACCAAAGACTCACCAGATAAGATTATACCAAATGTGGTTCTGAGATTAAGTCCTATATGGCAAAGATGATGTTCTCAGAAATAACAACTGGAAAGCAATTGCAGATTATAGAGGAACTGCTAAACGGAATGAGAGAAGTTACTCAGTGTACCATACCTCAAAAAAGAATTGGAAGTCCTAGAAAAGTTTGATTGTTAACTAAGAAATCTCCTGAGCCTTAGGAAACTGCAGGCAGGCCCGTAGGACAAAGCGATGCGATACCTCTATTTCAGGAGAAGGAGACTGACTGATGAACATAGACTCTGTGTAGGAGTCTGCTATATTTATACACTCATATACACCCTTTATAGTTTATATGGTAGTTTATATACTTTTTGATTTTCAGATCACTAATTATAAATGAGAGCAACTCATTACTGGCTTAGTCATGACCTCCCGCCTGAGAAGCCAATAACATGGAGGGGCCGGGGGTCAGCAGAGTTTCAACAGGGCATAGCCAGAGGAGGTCTGACGAGGCCTCTCGCCCAAGGAGGCTAAAGCAGGATTTGTGATAGACATCAAAACGCTGGCAGTGACTGCAGACAAGGAACAGCAGCCAGCTCCCCTTGCAGTCTTTTTCAAGAGGGCAAATGTCTTGTCTTTGTGCATCAAGGAGACGAGACTGACTTTATGCTTCTGTCTCTTCTTTCCTTCTGTTCTGCCAAAATAATACTGTTTGAACACACCATTTTGCTGACTTCACAGTTTTCTAAGCAGGGAAGTGCACCGAGAGCCCTGACTGCCTGACATAACTCTCCCTGCCTTCTGGGCTCAGGCTGAAGACTCAGCATTAGGCTAGACCTGAGCAAGCTGAGCCTCTTCATTCTGGCTACGGCTGAAGACTTGGCAAGAGGCTGCAGTAGTGAGAGCAAGACTAAGGAAAATTGCTGGCCAGAAGAAAAGCTATCAACAGCCAATTGGCCTCAAGTATTAAATGACGTTTTTTGTTTCTTTTTCCAATTAAACATGTTAGATGAGATGAATTAGCTCTCTCTTGCTGTGAAAATAGAAGCATTTATTGAGTGGGAACACATGGGGTCTGTCCTGTGCCCAGTACTGCTCACTAACAAACATGACGACGGGCCGAGTGTCTTTTAAGAGAGGGGCATTAGCGCATTGGAGAACAGCATTAGAGTTCAAAATTATCTCAACAACTATCAAAACCAGCCTGAGTAAAAGACAAAAGTCAACAAAAGTACCAAGTCCTACACTCAGACAGGAACCACTAGTTCCCTAAGGAGAGCACAGGGAATATGTGGCTACAGGGCAATAAAGGAGGTGGAGTACTAAAAGGAATCGCAAGCTGAGCAAGACCAAAAATATGCAACAATTTTCTGCAAGAAAAACAAATATCAACCCGGAATGGATAACAAGGAACAGAGGTCATGAAATGTGTAAATCCTTCCCTCTGCGGAGGATATCGGATGGGAACAGGGTACCTAGATTTGGGTGCTGCACATCAGCAAAGATATGAGAAATTCCATAGGAGAACAATAGCAGAGACAGGAGATTAGGAAACTGTTTATATGAATTAAAAAGAGGGAAAGTGTTCGTCTGAAAAAAAAATATATCTGTCCTGAAATCATGAAAGGGCTGCTGAAAAATAGCGGGAAAATTGTCTTCCATATCCACATAACAGGTTTGAAATGCAGCAGCAAGGGAGATAAAGATTAGACATGAGGAAAATATGCTTGCAATAATCACCAGGAAAAAAAAAAATGTTTATATGAATTAAAAAGAGGGAAAGTGTAGACACTTTGGAGGTTTGTCAAACTTACCCCTGAAACATCTGTCAGGAAGTAGACTGTAGATACAGATGACCTTGACTTGCAACATGAGAATAGATTAAATGAATTCTTAAAGTGTATTTCAGCCTTATTTCTATGATTATTTACACAAAAATCTAGACTGTAACAGCATTTAATTGCTTTTATGCTTTTCCAATAAGAAAGGCAAGCTTTCTGTGTCACTATTTATTACTCTGAGAATGCAGGTGGTGTTGGCTAGGCAGCTAAAATAAAAACCCAGCAGCCACTGATGCAGATAGATTCTTGGACCCCAAAACTATGTATCAGTGTATGCAGAATAAGGACTATAATTAAAAGACATGTAGGAAGTGGTTCTAGCAATTAATTTACCCATATCAGAAATGGTCTGTACCAAAACGATATCAACACCAAACCCTAGCCAGCAGCCTAGCTAACATTATTCAAAGTGACTTACCATTATGTGATTACAATAATGTAATTCCTATTACGTGATACACACTTTTATAAACAAGATTAATCCACAATGTCCTTTTCTTAAATTTACTGAAGTTACTTATGCAGGAATTTTGCTGACTACATTTTAAATTTGGCTCTGTCAGTGGCTGTACGTGAACTCGGGCCTTGCGCTGTTGTACAATATTTCACTTGCACAGCAGCTGTGCTGCCTGTTCAAGTTCACAGAGTATCAAACCCTGATTGCTTTTTTTGCTGTGTTAGGAAATACTACAGACAGTTGTTCTCTTGTATCTTTAGCTCTAGCCTTTTAAATCGTAACTGTTATAAACAACTGTAATTTATAATATAACTTTTCTTATAAAATGCTCTCAGATATCTATTAATGATGTTAAGGAAATGCAAAGCATCAATTTTCATTTTGAAATTGATTACATAGTTCCATAATCTGGTTGCTTTTTTCTTTTAATATGGGCTACAGTAGGCACTGTTTTCCTGAAATTAAAAAAATCTGTAGAAAATAGCACCTATTTCATAACAACTCAATAGAAAATTAAGAGGATTATGAAATTTCCTTCTACTGCATAGCACTTGATAACATGGCTTTCTTGAACAGGAGAATTGAAACAAGAAGGTGTGGGCAATTTTAATCTAATTAAGTTGCATATGTTAAAAGGTATAATTGAAAGAAAAAGTGGCTTTTGACTTTAGACATATGATTCCTGCCAACATAAAGGGAGGAAGACAGCATCATTTACTGAAAAGAGTATAGTTCATCTGATCATGCCTCTTCAGTTATAATTGCAAACTGGTTTGATTTTATTTCGTAAAAAATAATAGAACTTTTTTTTGGTTTTAGAGTCTGGACTCTACGATAGAAGATGGTAAGAATTAAGCAGGTTCCCTCCTCCTCTTTCCTGTACGGTGAACAGGTCCTAATACCCTTCTGGGCAGAACAGCAGCCAAGGATTATTCTCCTTTGATTGAACCTGATGTTGCTTACCCAGAAGCTGTAAAGAGGAGGAAGGCAAGCAGATGTCACTTATGTAAGCAGCAAGATACTTTGTGATCCCAGAGCCTGCCAGGATGTATTTCATTTCTCCTTTTATATCCATTTAGAGAACTTTGACTTTTAGCCTGAATTAATACCTGAAATTAGATCATAAAGTTTCTTTGTGTTGAATTATTAAAGCAGAAATACCCAACAATGGAACAGAGAAATTCTACTTCTGTGTTTCAGAATTAGTAACATATCCTCTGGTGAAGCTACAGCTCAAAGAGCATAAAGCAGGTTTGGCAGGTCTTGAACTCTCTGAAAGCCCTTTCAGAATCTCTGGAAAATAAACAGGAGCAGACTCTTTCATGAGGTTAAGTCCTGCAGTTAGAGGAAACTTTCTACAGCAGTTTCCCAAGATCAGCAGAAGAGCAGGTCTGTGGAAATGCTTCTGACCCTTCCCTGGGCAGAGGAACCTCAGGCTGGGCAGTCTGCGCTCTGCTGCCCACCAGGCTGGACAGAGGTTGCCGCAGAAAAAGAGCAACTCCGGCAAGCACTAGCCATGAAACCCCACGTACTGCAGTTGTAAAAGCACCCAGCACATTCACCGAAATCCCCATGGCCAAATAGAGCCAGAGTGGCTATTTCCAGGAAGGCTGGGAACTGTTCTGAGCTGGGTACCCAGGGTCCCTGGTCTCTCTCCAATTTAAATCCCCAATTCACAGGCTCTTCTTCCTTCACAAGAGCTCTCCCTGACATTACATGGACGAAGTAGTACATCTCTTGTTTATCATTTTTCAGATAATGCGCAGCCTCCAAGAAAATGCTCAAAGCCTCTCAACATTTACATTAGCTGGGTCTCTGCTGGTAACATCTGGAAAAGTATGTATTGTTTCAAGAATGTAGTCTAGCAGAAGATGAAAACTATCATCCTGAAAGAAAGCAACGTTCTCAGTTCCTTAGTGGTGCTCTGTTCCAAAAGCCATATTCTGAACTGTACCTAGAAAGCATTAGAAGGATATTTTTACCTGTCTCATACACCGCTTCGGACACCGAGGTAAAGTGGTCTTCTACTGTGTATTGTGCCAGTCGGAGCGTGTCCAAACCTCGAACTGAATCATTTCCTCTGGTCCAGTAAAACATCACATCATTGATGTTATAACCCCCTGTAGTGATACACAAGCCAACACAAGTGTTTATTTTACACAATAATTAATTTGTGTTCAGCACACTTATGGTTCAGCTGCTTCTTATTTATTTGTCTGAAAGTACAGTTAGACATAAACAATGACGGGGTTTGGCAGAACATAATGCCTGTTTGCAGCAAAACTCCAAAATAACATGCAAAGTCTTATAATTTAAAAGCTGACTGGTTTGGAGCTGGTCTTTTTTGTATCTTTTATTCTAGTATAGATGACAAACTAATAAAAGAGATGAGTACCGCATGGTATTCCAAAGGCAAAAGCTATTAAGCTAAAGAAATACAGGTTTTATTAATTATAGCACTGCCAGCATTTGGACTAAACATTAAGGGTGCCCTTCGTTGCATCCCAGGCCGCTGTTTCCTCGATGCGGTGCATTCGGTCCTCATTCCCATAGAATCGAAGGGGCGAGGAGAGCAGCAGGGCTGCTGCGTGCTGGCGCCGCGCTCCGAGCTGGGCTTGGGTTGTCCCTTGGGACAACATTTTGGCTTAGGAGCTTGGATGCTTCCCAAGGACACCAGTTTAGATGCTGATGTTTCTGCAGGCTCAACAGCCTGGCATGCTCCAGGGGCCCCAGGAGATTTCCTCTTAACCTTCAAGTAGTAATTAGGAGCGGAGACGGGACATGAATCATCTATCAGAAGGCAACTCTATTTTGCACACACTCGTCAATATGCGGCACAATCATAGCTAAAACACCTCAGTAGCTTTTCCCTATTATATTAAAAGGCAGGCAATTTTCAGGCTAGTGTATATGATTAATTCAAGATTATGTTAATGTAATTTACATGTTAACAGGGAGCGTTTGAACATCTTTTCCTTTAGCTTACTTAGATCAATCATTCTTCTATTTGACAGATTTATATTGTGCAAGTTAATAGCTAAGCTTAGGGGACAGAAACATGAGCTGATGATTATTTTTAGACTCCAGTCAATTGTAAGTAAATTACAGCGAGACAATAATGCAGTGCATTGCACAAGGGGATATGCTGCAAAAAAGAACAAAGCTCTAGAATCACAGAAAGAAAAAAAAAAAAAGAGATGTATTAAAATAAAAAGAGCATTTTAATATTTTTAAGTTAATGGCTTTGTTTCTTGCAATGACAAAAAAGGAGTGATTTCCTACAGCCATTTAATGGAGGAAAAACAGGAGTTCAGAAATTTCATTTCAAGGAAACACTATGCTGGTTACCAATTAAAATGACAATTTCACCTGGAAATTCTTTCCCTGACCATTCTTTAAGTGTAAATCTGATTTTCACTGTCACTGGCAGTTTTCTGAAAAGGTACTGTGACCAGGATCTCTGCACACACCATCACATTCATAGAAATTAAAGACAAAACACAGCAGTCAAAAGACTAAGCCAAATGCATGCACATCCAAGCTTATTTCCTGATTGTCTAAAGCCCAAATCTAGGAAATGTTATTTTTCACCTCCCAAATTTCCCAGATTTGGGAGGTGAAAAATAAAAGTAAATTTCCTATGAAAAAAATAATTGCATTGTCCTCAGTCAAAACAAAGAGGTTCGTAGCAGCAGTTTTCATGAGTGACTCCAGGCATGGATTCATTTCACTTTCAGTATAAATGAGCTGCAGATATTTAAAGAAAGTCCAAAGAACTAGAGAGTACCACAGTACACTCTTATTTTTACAAGTTATTCAGTCTTCCAAGTTGTGAGATGGGAGAAATTCGATGCCCAGGTGGACAATAACAAGCATATCTCCAAATGGACGTTGTTTTGCTCTAACAGAACCATTTTTGTTCCAAAGTATTTTCACTAGCTGAGCAATTAGTAGGTTTTGGTGGTCCTTCCTATGAAAACTCTTTGAAAATACTAATTCCAAATCTCTATTTGTGAAGAATTTTCACGGGGAGAGTCTTCCCAATAGTCAGTAAAGTTAAATAGCAGAGTGCTCCCTCTGTGCTAAGTTATTCTTTGTTCAGGGGATTAATATTTTACTAATTATAAAATGTTTTAAAAGTTTATAGAGACAAAATCCTTAAGCCATGTTATTTGGCTTTTATAAGTAATCTCTATTCTCTCTAGATGACACAGAGTTTTCGTTCTAATTCCTCAAGCCCAAAATGCCTCATTCCTGTACTTCGTTGATAGAGAGTGAACAGCTAACATCAACAGGGTTAACTACAGGAATAGTAAATTTGGGATTAAACATTCATAATGCCTAATACAAATGAGTTTCTTTACCTTTCTGTTGCTAATTTTAATTTCCCCTGATTGTCAAGCACAAGTTAAGTGCCTTCACATGGCTCTTCACTGAATAAATGCTAAAGGACAAGTTCAATAAGGAAATAAAATTTCAGAGATGGGCCCAAAACATGAATATGTATTTGGACTGGAGGCCTTAGGGGGAGGAAAAGGAAAAAAATCCCTCAGCCCAGTGTGAATGAAAGGTGATGTTCCCTACCACATAGCAGAGAACACGAACCCCCCTACAGCACCAACCGAGACAGGAGCCCTCCAAGTCCCCAAATGTCACATCTGCCACATCAGCTGAGACTCAGAGTGGCAACTCTGTCTCCTAACATATGCCTGCCCTACCTGCCAAAGTGTTGCACTAACAGGGGAAGGAAACAACAGGCATTTTGGCTGAAATATATTTTGCTGTGTGGAAAGTATAAATCAATTAATGCTATTAACTACCAAGAGCAGACTAGCACATTGTAAAGGCCACTAGGGATGCTTTACTGTGTAAAGCCATTACTTGATGTTGTAAAGGCCACTAGGGATGCTTTATTGTGTAAAGTCATTACTTGATAATACTGATTGATTGCATTAGTGATCACTTAATAAAAGGCCTAACACTTGGTGTCAGATCACGTATTTGCTATGTATTTTACATCTTATTTATACATGTTGGTGCTTGTGTGGATGTATATACATGCTTGCATTCATGATTCTTAATTCCAGGTAATGGTATTTTGCAAGCAGTATTCTAGGATGATGTCATTCATCTATAAATTGTCATAGCTTATCTCACGAGGAAGCAAACACCATTTCCAGCATACCCAAAAGAAAGTATTGTAGCGCACTGAAGAAAGAGCCACAGCTAAAGGCGCACTCTTTCTTTCTGCGTTTATTGCTTCTAGCGGCTTTCTGTAAAACTTAACAGCAATGTTATGGGCACATTTGTGATGACATTACTATGTTTTCCCCTTGGACAGGAGACACTTGTGTGTTGTTGAAAAAGCAGATGGAATCATTCTGAAAAAATGTTTAATTTTAATTACATAGGGAATTTTTCTTTTTTTTTAATCTTGTCAAATAAATTTAAGTACTTGTGGGACATATATATCATTCTGTAACTAGAGAAAACATTAAATGAGTCATTAGGCAATGCTGTTGATATAAAACCATATGGGTTGACTTACCAATATGCTCTTCCAAAGGAAAATAAATTAGAGATAAATCCAAATTCTAATTCAAATCACTATTTGTTAACCAGATCTTATAAAACTGCTGATTCTAGAGGGACTCCGGTGTAATGAAGGTTTTGGGGTTGATTCCCTTTGTGGTTTGTCTAAAAATGAAACTGTGCAGCAATCTTCTAATTGGTCATTACCAACAGGAGATAAAGAACATACACACGTCTGAAATGGTAAAGGATACTTGACAAGCCTTGAAAAACCTTCCAAAAGATTTTGAATGTGTATTGATATATATTTGAACATATATTTTCATCTTACAGGATTGGGTATCCTTTTACATTATCCCATGCAAAAATATTTTGATAGAGACTTATCATATGAATAATAGCAAACAGTTAACTATAAACATGCAACATTCAGGTATTTGCAAATCAACCATGTCTACAAAGTATTAGAGAGCATATTTTAATGAAAATTATGAAAACGTTGGTAAAAGGAGGTTCTATGAAGGTATATTTAGTCTTGGTCCATGAACTGATGGTATTTTTTCCCAGGGCACAGGCATAGACGCAATTAAGTAAGTCATAGAAAGATCTCTATGTATCCATCTCAGAACAGAACATGCAGCTGCCTTTTTTTCAGTATGAAGACAGTAAATTAATTAAATATGAACTCTATGCCTTACAAATAAGCCTTATTCTAATTTCTTTCTTTCCTAAAGGAATTGTGCCTCAGGCAGGGGGGAGGGATACATACTGTCTGAAAGAGAAAAACAAATTAAAAATATTTTCTCGGCTGGGCTGGAAATTGTCTGCTCACAGAACTCCCCCTGAAGACCAACAGAATAACTGCAGGATGCACTGCAAAACCAGGCCTATGATAACCCGAGATTTTGTTTAACCATGAATAGCATGGCAGCATTTCAGTACTGCCATGCTATTTTCAGTGACGCCTTATGCTTTTATCTTTGTATACAGACACTACTGTAATTCGACAGGGGCTGGTCACATACTGTCCCTTGGCTTCATTGAAAATTCCAGCCTCTTCGATAATAATATCTAGCAGCCCTGGAAAAAGATCACAAATATTTTTCTAACTGTATAAAAATACTAAGTATTAAGTGTCTTACAGCTTTCCAGTTGCAAAGTACACGTCTGCTTATCCATGGGATATTTGCTTAGATCCATGCTACATGCAACAGTTGTGGTGATCCTTAGAGGAAAAAAAGGGTATTGCTGATTATTAATGGGGTAAAATTATTCATCAGTAAAAATGTAAATAAGCCATGTATCTATCTTGAACTAATATTTGCAGGCAAAAAATTGCAAGGCAAAAAAAAAAAATCTAGCATTTACTGGTATCTAATGGGGAAGAATAATAGCATCCAAACCAGGAAACCACTCCAGAACAGCTGAGTGGTAGTCGAAAAAAGCCACCCCCTTGCTTCCTTCTCACTGATGGTGTGCATATTCCTTTGTTGGTATTATACAATATATTTTACAATTTTGTTATATTTATAAAAATTTATTATAAAGGGTAATCTGCAATAATTGCAAAAACAGCTCATTGTAAAACAACTGGAAAGGCAAAATGCAGTTCCTGTATTTGGTCTACATGAGAGCACAAGGGTCTATTCAGGGAAAAGGACAACTAGTATTAAATTTCAGAATTTAATCATATTGGCCAGTAATATTACATATTAATAAAACTACAAGACCATGCATCTTCTACTTTGACAAATAGATCAGTTTAAGCATAAAATTCTGCTAACCCAGGAAGTTTAAAGTGTAAGTAGAAGCCAAATATAAAGGCTGGTATGTGGTATATACATACCGTAGAGCATACAAGACTGTTCCATTAGGGTATATTCTTATAAGACGATTCTCAACAGTGATATCATGAAGAAAAGACTTCTTTGAATCAACTATGAAGGTATCTGGTACCCAAAGCATTTCCACAAGGCGACCATCTAAGCTTAAACTCTTATTGCCATCGAAACAAAGTCTCTCATCAGTCCATCGCTGCCTTAGAAATATGGTAGCCGTGTAGTCCTGAAAGAGGAAAAACAAAGTTATCGTACAGAGTAAGATTGTATTATATTCTGTTTTACAAAAGCATATAGAAACAGCTGTTGGGCACAAACAGCCTGTGACTCTCCGTGTCTTATTCTTCAATGCTGACACTCCGATAGCAGTTGTACTGGCTCTTGTACTGCCAAATTTTCCAGCACTTGATGCGAGGTTGACATCATTAAGAAATATTATCTTGAGTAGATTTTGTTACAGTCATTGGAATTTTATTGTAAAGCTGATGGCCTAAGTCTGGGTCTATAAATCAGCTAAGTCATCAGAGTTTTGTAAGCAGATAATCTGGCTCTGTATATCTTTAAATTTTAGAATTATTTATATAAGTGGATGCAAATATCATTTTGTTCACATAAACTACTAAATAATGGATTTTTAAGAAAACTTTGAAAAAAGTTGTATGAATTCAGATAGGCAAAACAACAGAAGTCAGTGAAATAGGAAGGGAATCATAACCTTTTAGCACAATTTATCCTTTCGACATCAGAAGGGAAACAGCAGCGCCAGATTTATCAAGACCTTGAATACAGCTCTCAGCCCGATTCACCTTCAATTCAGATATGCCTTGTAGCCTTACATTAAAACAGTATTTCTTAGCATCTTTTTAGTCAGCTTTTGATTTTATGGTGCTTTTTTATCAGTACAAGCTCATCTTACCTTCTGACCTTACTTCCCCCTTTGTAAATACTAAGTAATACTTACTATGTACAAAGGGATTCTGATACTCAACTTCTGTTGAAGCCCAAGTGGTGAAATGGTGAGGTACTTATAAACAAACACATTATTTTTTGTGTGTACATACTTTTTTATACACACAAATATTTTCTAATATTAAATATCTGATTCATTATTTTTGCCTTTTATTTCTATGTACTGATGGAGGATCTTTGATTCGGAAAGTATACTCCATTTCGTAGTTTGCTCAAAAATAAATGATACAAATGTAATGAAACACAGCTGGAATAAGTTAATGTGTGACAGTAACAGTAAAAGAGAAAAATATGAGTTCAGCTGTGTCTAATCACAATGAAAGGGAGAGGCTTCAAAGTCACATGAATATATCTAATTTTCTGAAATGCATAAAGATTTAAACATTTCATCTGGAATATAAATACTGCTCTACATGCCTTTCATTCAGATTAATACTTAGCAGCAAATCTGGTTGTATCTGTCAGAGGTGTGATTTGCATCTACATTTCTGTACTTATGAGAGTGCTATAGCCACTATCGGTAGTGAAAAATAAGATTCCATCTCCTAGCACACACTGACTGCACAAGGGGAGCAGCCTCCAAGTCACATTGCCAGCAGCTGTAAACACAAGACATTAGCTTATCAACAAGCAAAACAAAAAAGATTGCAAAAGCTACAATACCATATTTATTTCTGATATCGTATCAATGCTTGCAATATCCAGGCTCATTCCAACTGACACAGGACCATCTGCAAAAAAGCAAAAGTCAGAATCTAGCACATGGTTCCTTAATACTCAGTGTTCAGAACTGGCTACAAGATCTTCCACAATATGATCCATTTTTTTCTAAATATTTAGTAGCTTTTTTAAAGGGAAATATTCCTCAAACTCAAATTATGAAAGAATTTTAACAATTTCATAACCAAAATATAATACTTCTAGACTAACAGTATCTTGGTTTTAAAAAACATGCTTTATTTCCTAAATATTTCTTGATTTACATGATTTTTTTTTTTCCCCCCCCAGAAAAAAAAGTGCTGGGGAAAACGTTGCACAGCAAGTTGGGAAAGGTACAATCCCCATGGTACATCACACCCTTCTGCTCTGAGATGCAGAGCAGTGGAAAGAATCCTTCCAGTTGCAACATCTGGTCCATCAGATGTTAGGGAACCAAGGAGCTGCACCTGGCAATGTCACATGGTTAATATCCAGATGGGATGGCTGAGTGACTTTATTTACTGCCTATTTAAGAATATATTGTCTATATTGTGTCACAGCATTTTAATGTCTTGCTTTGACCATTAGCGGTTAACTTGCTATTTAAATACTTGCATTTATAAAGGAAAACTAGTCATTTATTCTCCTTTTAATATCAGCTGAAGGTTTATTCAGTGTGATTAAATACCTTACCTGAGCAGTCATCATTGTAATGTTAGTACGCTCAGACTCTCGCTTCCTTGTGAATGTGCATTTTACAGCGTAAGAAGGAAGGTCACCAGCCTTGCATTTTAAAATGCAGAATTTGTGCAGAGCTTTCATGGAAACATGACATTGCTCCTGGTTGAATACGTGCAGAATAATTAACAGAGTACACGTACAAGGAAATTCATATTAAATAAGTACATCTTTCCAAGTATTTGAGAAGCAGAGAATGCAGTACTGAGAAATGCAGAAACACTTAAGATCTCTGTAGCTGATGGCACCAGTGTATCACCAGCACACCACTGAAACCCTCTCTTGGCGCCTTGCAATGCATTACAGACATAGCTCTTACATGCCCCCAAATGGCACCTAGAGGAAGATGAGTCCAACTCTACCCCACTGAGTAACACTAAAGAAAAAAAAAAATTATCTAAGTGGGATAAGCATATTGGTGTTTTTTCCCAAAATAATTTCCATTTGTAATGCATGTGTTAAAGTTCTTGAACATCTGGCACTTCTGAAAGAATCTACAAATGCTTTGTTCTGGACTCAGTTGAAAGTTCAAATCAGCTTAAAGCAGAACTGTAGGCTTGCAGCATCCCCTGTTAGTAATCTATATGCTTATTATATACTATAAATTGTACAGGGGGATTAGAAGAAATTGTTCATCTATTGGAAGAAGACTTTGGAGGTTAACTTTAGAACAAAATTATTTGACAGAAGAGTTCTCAGACCATTGCCAGCTTGTTCTCCTGCTTCTTTCCCTTCTTTTCAAGTTTTGATACTCCAAGAATACATTTGTGTTTTGTTAAAAACTTGACCCTCCAGGAAACTCAGCCCAACTTTCTAGAGTGCAACAGCAGAGTCAATTTATACATATGCTTACCATTCTACTATATAATTATTACAGGTACAATATTGCCAGCCTCAAAAGATGTGTCAGATCCTCAAAAATCATTGCTTTTAAAATAAGTGTGATAAAAAAATCAGAATATTGATTATAAAAGTCTTCCTACAGATTCCCACATATGACTAACAGAGCATATTATCGCCAACTGCCACACAAGAATTTGGGGGGGAACCTCGTCATGCAAGGCATCATGCTTAATGATGGACCATCTTAAGGAGATGACAACACAATGTTCAGCTGTCTATGCAGGAATTGTGGCTCAGAATAATCCAACCCTTTCTTATCATATCCTATTTTTATTGGTAGGAATAACACTCAATCCTTGTTAATTAAATTGATACAGATGAGGGGAAATATTCATTAGCACTATTTCAGTATCATCAGTGCTATTGTTACATGTCTGAGAGGAAAAGCTGACTTTCCAGAAAGATTACTGAAATTAAATTAAGTTTCTTTTTTTCTGGAACTACAGAAACAGGGTCTTCCTTCTTTCCTGTTGTGCTATTTTTCAAAATACTGAGTAACACAACAGAACTGTAGTGTTGGGTGACTCCCAACCACCAGAAGACACCTAGCTTAGGTTAAGAGGTACCTCAAGCTCAAGCTGACTGTCTTAGCACAGACCTGCCTTGGGGTTCAAGCGCTAAGGAGCCAGGACAAAGCCATCCCGCTCTGCTGGCCCTGACAGTCTTCACAACCCACGCGCGCAAGCTGTGCAGCCAGCCTGTCGAGCCAAGCACTCCTGAAAACTCAGCAGAAAGTGAGTTCCCGCAGATACAGGAACATGCCAGGGAGGAGTTGTGCAGAAAAACTCCACAATTATTGAAGGGGTCTTTCCTAACACAATACAAGCTGCAGAGAACACCTTTAACAAAACAATATTAATAGTCAAAAGACAATTTCTTTTTCTGTGTGAGGCTAAATACAGTTTATGGTTCCTTACTAAATAAGCAAAGTATTAATAACAATGAGTCTTCCCATAATTATCCACCAGGGTTTCCCCTGAACTTCCTCTGAAAGGTCTCCAGCTGACAGTGTCAGAAACAGGGCAGGATACCAGATGAGGCAGTCCATTCCCACATTTCCATATGTTTGGCAGGAATCGTATGTATAATGACAGCTTCGGAAGAGATCTACCAGTCTCAGAAGAAAACTAAAGTCAGTCTGTCCTGCAGTCATGAAGGGAATCTTCAAAACATGGCAAAGAAACACTGAAGGGTGTGCCTTGTTACAGCAATGGGTGCCCAACCTAATTAACATACATTTTAGCTTTTACTGAAATTTCTGTAGAAAGACTGTTACTTTATGCACTTTACAGATATTTGCAGTAATCCCATATACTAAAGTGGCCAGAAGAGTGGCAGATACCATACCTAAAAACTAAGTTCAGCTCACTGCAATCATCACAGTCTTAAATTTGGTACCAATGAAGGAAACCACCACTGTGTCACAGATGTATTTGTAACTCTGAGGACCTACTAAAATCATTCAGCACCATCAGGAACTGCCAGTGCTGAGCTGTTAGCACAAGCTCTTTTTCCGTTTAGTTTAAGAAAACTTAAAACAATTCTGACCTTCAGAAATATCTCAAAGGGGATGGCTCTTTAAAAGAACACCTCATCCTTGCAGCAATACTAGATAAAACACCATGCAAGCCTAACAGTGAATTAAAAGGAAAAATATCACTACAATAATTTATTACAGTTTCATGATGTCATGGTTTAACCCCAGCTGGCAACTAAGCCCTGCACAGCCGCTTGCTCACTCCTGGCCTGGTGGGAAGGGGGAGGGAATCAGAAGGGTAAAAGTGAGAAATTTCGTGGGTTGAGATAAAGACAGTTTAACAGGTAAAGCAAAAGCTGTGCACTCAATCAAAGCAAAAGAAGGGATTAATTCACTAATTCCCATCAGCAGGTGGGTGCTCAGCCATCTCCAGGAAAACAGGGATCCATCACGCGTAACGGTGATTTGGGAAGACAAATGCCATCACTCAAAGTACCCCTCTTCCTTCTTCCCCCAGCTTTATGTGCTGAGCATGACATCAGATGGTGTGGGATATCCCTTGGATCTGTTGGGGTCAGCTGTCCCAGCTGTGCCCCCTCTCAGCTTCTTGTGTCCCCCCAGCCTAGTGGGGTGGGGTGAGGAGCAGAAAAGGCCTTGGGGCTCTGGGTCAGCCCTACTCAGCAATAGCCAAAACATCTCTGTTATCAACACTGTTTTCAGCACAAATCTAACTTAGCCCCACTGTAGCTGCTATGAAGAAAATTAAATCCAACCACACAAAACCAGCACACATGAAAAACTGGTTTTGTCTGCCTGATTGCCAGCTTTGCTTTGGTTTACGGTATTATGGGACTTTTAAATAAAATGATACATTATGCTTGGATTTGTTCAGTACACTTAACTTCCCACCACAAGACATCTTTCTTGACAAATATATGTTACATGAAGAGACAGGACAGATTAAGATAGGCTTTCTGACAGACCTCAGCTGTAACTGTTGATATGAAGACATCAGAAGACAGACCCATTTCTAGCAGGAATCAGCTTCACCCCTATTCATTCACATCAATGATCTTTAGACAGTGAATGTAGCTTTGCCAGTACAGATTGTAGACAATACAAAAATTGGTGAGGATTGTAATAATAGCTTGTTAAGTCATTTGTCAGAAAGCCATATGTTAATACAGCCAAATGCAAGTAATTAATGTGGGGACAAATAATGCAGGCAGAATGTACAGGATAGGAAACTGTCTTGGCAAGCAGTGCCTTTGAGAAGGATTTAGGGGTTGTCACAGATAATCATTTCAATAGGATCTTTCCATATCATGCTTTGGCAGAAGCACTATTGCAGTGGGGAGCAATACACAGGATTAAGTTATCTTGCAATCTAGACTGTATTGGCAAGACTGTTATGAGATTACTGTGGCGAGATTTGTTTTCCACATTTGAAAAAAACATGCAAGTAGTAGACAGAGTTCAATGGAGAGAGAGCAATAGTCTAGAAGGCAAAAAACTCCAGAAGCTTAATATCAAAGCTCGTAACATGAAAATTAAGGAACAGCATAACAGCATTTACTCAGCTCCCCAGAGATAAGACAGAGAGGTGACTTGCCCAACGTCAGTAAGTGCACAGAAAAAGTATCCAGTAGTAAGTTGTACACGTTCTCTGACAAAGCAAAGCAAGACTCATTTATGGAACCTAGAGACAACATGAAACTTCAAATAAATTGATTTTTTCCTAACTGAACTTCATTAGTGTTCATCAGAGTATCTAAAACTCAGCATTTAGGGGCAGGGGAAAAAAAAAAAAAACACCACACAAAAAAGAAAACCTCAAAAACAAAACCCAAACTGTTTTGCATGTAGGAAGCTGTATCATAGTGTCTCGTATTTCCATGGGAAAGGAAGGAAAAATCTACATGACCATCTGTATGCTGAAGTTCACAGGTTTGCACCAAGTCATTGATTTATTAAATACCAATTTTTAAGGATTCAGTAGGGATTCAAAAGATCTTTTTCCATTGCAACTGGCCATACGTATTCTGGGCTTTTTACCTTTCTCTGAAGGATTAGACATTGGCTAACCAGTACATAAGATAGTCTTTAGATAACAATTATGTGGTATTTCTTTCTCATGTAGCCTGTGAGCTTGTCTCAATAAATCAAAGAGTCTTAGACATAGCTAACATTCTGATATCTCCTGGTCTCTCTTGGGGGTAAACTGTAAACTTCTGGGGACTAAAATGCCTTCATCTAATTAAACTCATAGAACTTAAATGTTGTTTGTAATAAGAAAAAAATATCATGGCTGGTCTTACAGAGAAGGTTGGACTCGAAGATTTAATTTGCTTTCTTGAATTTAAACCTTAAGACCATGAAATGCATTACTCATTACAACACTAAGGAAAATAATCTTTTAAATGTGGTTTAGAGTAACTGATTCAAGCATGACACTTTTCTGTACCACTTGAAAACAGCTTCCATACTCAAATATACTTAGCTGTGACCTTTTCCTAGTCTCTCTTTTTAATTAGAACACAAATTATCACACTCAATCACAGAACAAAATCTATTTGTATAAAATTATTTACAAGATTTTATGCATCCCTTAACAACTCTACGAACCTGATCCAAGGTTCACTGAAGTCAGAAGGACCTGCTCATTAATTCAGAGAGGCTTGGCACAGCACCCAAAGTTATAAAATTGGCCTACACAGTTTCAGCACAAAACCTGATGTTGAAATCAGCTTGTATTGCTGAGATAAAGTGTCAGGGTTATGTAGCACATTTAAGTGAAATAACCATGCATTTTAAAAATCCTTTATGTCAGCTTTTCTAAGGAAGACTTTCACATCGAAAAGTCTAGGATAGATATTATTACACTAAGGGGTACTATCTACTAACACTACTATAGGAGTATTTCATATTCCTGTCCAAAGAACAGCTAAAATTATTCTAGATTAGGTAATTTTTTAATTTGTTAATGGAACTTCTTGGGCCTATCTGGTCAGTTTATTAAGACTTGCTTGATGAACCAGCTTAGAGGGACATTAAAATGCTATAGTTCAGGAAAGAGAACATTCTTAATAGTAACACTCAGATGAGGGCAGAGCCAACAAACCAGTCCAGCTGGGATTCCTCTGTGTAAAAGTACCCCCACAATTTGGTGACTGGTATGTGCCACCCACCATGGACAAACATAAAAGGCTCAGTCAGTTCTACTTGTCTGCAAACCTTTGACGTGGCTTCAACTAATCTGACTTTAGGCACCTAGCTTCAGTGCCTAGAGATGGGAATGACAGCCTGTACTGGGCTTAAATGGCAGCATTTGGGTATCAAGGGTCTGGAGGGGTGACCTGTGGGGGACAAGATGACTAAAGTAAGGAGAGATTAATCCAGGCTTAACATCTAGAAAACTGTCAGATCCAATCCATGCAAGAAGAGGAGGAGAAGACAAGTTTTTGTGTTTATGCACAGTCATTGGATTAAAATGAAAAATATCTTCAGAATCCCCTCATTAAGGCACTAGCTGGGCTGTATCCACTTCAGTAATTCCCAGTCATCTGCCAGGCCTAGCACAAGGACCAAACACAAACAAATAGGCAAATGGAGGGCTTATTAAACTAACAATTTACACGCTGCCATAAAATTTCCTTGACTAGTAAATATTTCTGTTTCTCCTGGCTTTAGGAAAAAGGAACCTTCATTTTTTGATCATTTGTTTACACTTAATGCTTTCAGGACTAAAAAAACCATTTTGCTAAATATTAAGGAGTTCAGTGTTGCTGATTTTGTAAGAGTATGATTGTATCTTGGCAGCAAGCATCCCTTCAAAAATCCCCATTTCCTGCTTGGAGAAAAATTTCAAGGACAAATAACTTTGAAATGACTTTGTATTACGTTATCCTAAAATTCAAGCTAACCTCTGGCCCTCTCACACTTGATAAAAATCACATTTCAGTTGTTCCATTATGACTAGCTAACATTAAGCTCAAAGCACTGTAGATGCCAACAAATAATACCGTCTAGTTTTATGACAAATTTCTTCATGCATATTTATGAGTGCATATCTAACTGGCCACACAAATAAGCAGAAATATATACACTTACAAAAGATTTTTTTTTTATATTCCTGTTTCTAGAAATACAAGTTTCCCTCTCAGGAGTAAATGGGCACTGATAGGTGGACACAATTAGAACTGCATAGGCTTTTATGGCAGCTGATAATCTCCACCAGTACCCAAATACCCCCACTTATGTTTTTATCGTGCATTTGTTCATTAGTCAACTCAAGTCTAACCAGCACTTTGATCTTATGATCCAATTTTGGTCTGTCTCTTATTATTAACATGCAAATATCATACCAAAGAAATTAAGGATTTGGGGGGATAAGGAAGGCAAAAAAAAAGTCACAGAAGAGGTATAAACAACTAAATTGATACTCTGCCTTCATCAGCTATTTATCAGATGTGCTGTAGCCATTGATATAACTCTGAGCAAAGCCAGTTATACTGAATTCTTTCTCATGAAGAACAGGTAATATCCACAGGGATAAGGAAAATATTACATGGAACAAAGCTAGGATAGCTGTGGTCACACAGATCTGTATAATCCACCAGTTTGGTGAGCTTAGGGTTTAGGTGATTTACTAGCTCTGCTTCTGAGAAGAACAACAGTTTCTCCTGGACCTGAATCTCATCTAAGCTGCAGCGCACCTTGACAGTAACATAGAGGGGTCAGGGCTCAGTAGATACCATTCCCCACCCCACCGCAAGCATACATGCCTCTATCACATGGAAAATTATCCCAAATGATCTTGAAAAAAGCTACAGGTCCAAAAATCTAGATGAATGCTTCCTGGGTCATCCTAACCTAATTATTCCTACAAAGAAGTAATTTCTTACACAACCACCAACCCTCCATTTAGAAATGGCATCAATAAAATGTATTTTTCAGAGTCTCATCCCATTCCTTCAGTAGTAATGCTAATATAGAACCATCAAAAACTTCTGAGGCTCAGTGTCTGCATGACTGAGCTGTGGCAAGCATACGCAACCATGCTGGTGCTGCCTGGAAGTACCAGACTGGCTCTACACGTGACATTGACTTGGCCTGTGCTTGAGTTCATCTGGGATGTCCAGGCACAGAAAGTCCATAGCATCCCTCGGAACAAAATTCCCAGGCAGAAAAAGATGCCTTGCTGCATTACAACAGCTGAGAAAAAAAAAAAAAATGGCTCACATCAGAAAAGGGAGATTCATAACTCAGGTGCTTTACTATTGGTCTTTACTACCGTAGGATTTTGCAATGAAATCCTGTTTGCTGTGTACCAAAGCACATCCGTCATGACAGTGCCAACATTATCTCTAGTACTAGCATGAAGTAATGAATGAAATGTATTACTAGCCACTGAACATATAGTTATTTTCCATTATGCATCATCTCCAATGAGAAGGGGTTAGTTTATTAGCGTTACTTTTACTTTGACGAAGATCATCTTGGACCATGTAAATACTTTATAGCAGTTGTACCAGCAGCTGAGACAATTACAATAAAACCTAACAGATTGCAGAGTCTCTCCTTTCTTCTAAACCTAAAATACAGATTTATCTTAATATTTTTAATGAATGGATTTAGAAATTGCACATGATGTGGAGTGCCCTTATTGAACAAGCTGATGGTCTCACCAGGTATTTGGATGGCAAGAGGTAACAGTATGGTCTGAGAAATTCTTTAGTCAATCACTTTTAAGCAGGATATAAAGGGATATAAAAATCTTCATTTGAAACCTCTAATGTTTCTGAACTTAAGAATTATTGCCTAGCATTCACTGTAAGTTTATTTTCTGGCAGACACATGATGCTGAGCATCTTTTCAACATGCAGAATATTTTTCCCCCCGGAGTTCTGCAGTTACTCCAAGCAGAGATCTTTACCCCACCTTGTAACTCTTCAGTATTCCTGATACATTCAATAGCCTGATTCAAGCAAGGAAGATGTTTGTCACTGAGATTTCAGGCACCTAACGTTGACTGCACTGCAGGGCAATAAAATCAGCCTTGGTGCAATAGACTACGTGGGTCTGCCAACCTGGTGACCATGGCCTTCTGAAACAGGGAAGCGACATTTTTGATTAATTTTCCCCTCACAGTTCCACAGTGAGCCAGTTCAGGGACCTTTAAGATACAACACAAGAAGCATTTGTTAAATAATCCTCTTGCAGTCTTATAGGAGATGCACATAATACTTGGTATAGGAACAAGATTTGCCTGTGCTTTTATGAACGGTTTAATATATAAAGCTTTCTTACCTTTAATCAAAAATTTATAGTTGTTATTTAGTAAATTAGGGGAAGCTATGCTTTTAAATAGGTAAGATACTACAGCTTGTTTCACTGAGGACACAAGAACATCGATAGTCAAGTTTCTAACCAAGTCTGAAGTTTTGCTTGTGAATGCCTAGAATATATAAAGTTTCACCTTGGGCCACAGAAGCTGTTACACTGTATCTCAGTATATCATAGCACAGCATATATAATCAGATCAGTCACTGGCAAACACTGGAGAAAATGAGTATAGCAAAAAAACATTTGCTCTCATTGCTGAGTTTCAGACACCACATTATGTTACAGCTCGATCTTATTAAAACAGCTTTTCTACTTACTATCAAAAAATGGACGTAGATACTTGTTGTATCCTTTTATTATTTTTTGGATAGTTGGAGGTAGAATTTCACCTTTTCCTTCAGCTTCAGGAATTTGCATTGACCTAAAAGGAATGAAAAAAGTAAGAATGTTTTAAAATAACATCATCAGTTACAGCATAGATGACATTCCAGGAAAATGCTGTATTACTTTCAAGGTTGCTGATGATTACTGCCCATCAGATAACACATCACGAAACACATGCATGCTTGCATTTCACAGAACTGTAGAAAAAAAAAAAATTCTAGAAAATATCAGGTTTTATGACCTGCATTAGTCTCTTATTGGAAAAAAAAAATACTTTTATGCTTTAAAGTCTATTATTTCTTAAAGGCTATCCTTTCTTAACACCTCACCTAAGAAAATAGTTCAGTCTTCTTTAATATCTCCTCTGTAAATAGGACACTGTTGTTATAATCCAGGAATGCAAGAGGGGTATTAATTGTTTATTTCAGCATTTAAAATTAAGCTGCTTTTTACATATGAAATACATTCAATTTAGTTCCTAGAAAGAGACAGAAACCAGCCTCAGAGATTAGTGCATAAAAATATTTTTTAAAGCCTGCTTTTACAATGCAGTTTTTAAACAGGTTACAGAAATAATCCTGTTGGGCAAAATTAGTGAAGCATAATGAGAACACAAACCCTGCCTTTGTTCAGAAACAGCTATAAATATGACCCACAGAAGTCAAATATAAGTAAGTAATTACAAACCCCATCTTTGCCCTGGGGCCCCCACAATACCCTCATTAGGAGGATGAGCAAGGGGACTAGAAAAGGGACATACCTCAATTGCAATTCTTTACTCAGACCACATCAGGATCCGTTTTTATATATTCCCCTCCACCTTTTATGGGTCTTGATGGTTCGCAGCTGTGGGAGGGCTCCTGGGGCCATGAAGGGCTGCTATGCTGTAAGCAGCCCCATAGCAAAAGATGTCATAGCTTTGCTCTTAATTTCTGCCTAACCCCTAAGGTGAGCTCCCCAAGAGTGCAAGCAGGGTGTGCTCACCCATCACAGCTTCAGGCTGTTCTCTTCATAAATTAAAACACAGGTGGTACTGACTGCTCATTGCCCATGATTTGAGAAAGGTGGGAATGTTGACTGCTCTTAAATTATGAACATGAGAAGCAAATAACTGATTGACTCAAGGAAGCCCAGCTGGCTGCAGACAGCTGATGGAGAGCAGCCACCTATATATTCACCAGGAGAGGGGCTCTAGATTTCTTAGCTCCCACACCAAAAGCAATGGGATGTTAAGAGTGACCAGCTCTACTCCTTAGTTCTTCTACAGCAGATACAGGAGCTGTAGCTGTGGTGGTTCAGCACTGGGGAGAAGGATGTAAGTACAAACCTATAGCTAAGGGGGCACTGGTGCTTTGTGGTCTTTCCTAGTTCTGCCAAATCCTTGCTGAATTTTTTCTTCCCAATTTCTCCCAGAGCTGTTCCTGAGAACTCTGCTTGCTAAGTGATGCTTCTGGTCCTCCTGTAGCTTTCCAAAGGTTGTTCCTTTGATTTTAGTTTTACTGTGTTTCTGAGAGAGCTTGAGCTGTTCTGTCAGGAAACTGTGGTTTTCATCCACTAGAAATAACTTGGTATCTTAGATTGGCAAAACTTAAATGCTAAGATGATCTCACTGAATGCACATGGCCAAATTGTGCTGTGGTTTTAAATGTGGTGTCCACTGTGTTGAAGTGCTGTTACTGCTATGTAATTTTTCTGTTCACCAGACCCTATTCTCATACAAGTAGCTGTTTTTCATTAGCAGTCTTGTAACTCATCTGGCTTAGATACTTGAATGATCCTATTTATTTCCCTTATTTTAGCCCTGGTTTTTATTTCTCTGTTGCTGGAGAGCTGTGTTATTACTTTACTTAACATTAAGTGTGGCCTTGAATAATGCCAGCATTGAAATAAGGAATGCTTCTCCTGTAAGTTGCATCCTAAAGAAAAAAGTGTGGTCATGTGGAGTTGAAATATGAATATAAATAAAAAGGCTAGTTTTACGCTGTAAAAACTGTTAGAATCAGAAGCCTGCTTAAACTTAATTAATTTCTTAAACACTGACCTTCCAATAGATATTTCTGCTTTTGTAATTTGCATATTATTTTAGCTAATTGTTCAATGAGCTGCTTGAGTTGAATTTTACAGCTTTACTGAGTTGTTCTTAAATAACTTTCACATATTGTAAAACAGTAAAGGAAAACTTGTCCCTTTTCCACTGTGAGAGTATGGTATTGTTTTTCTAATAAGTATGCAATTGCAGAGTGGTCTGGTGTGTTACCATGAACAGCTGAAATATATATTACCTGAAATATATCTTAAATATTTGGCATGATTTTATGGAAGTCCTTCCCTTAAATCACCTGTGGTACCCTTTGAGATAATTCTTGATTTCCCTCACTAATATGTGATGATCTGTAGCCTCATATTTTTGGTCTTTGATTTCTATGATTAAGTAAGGACTTGTTGGTATGGAAAAGCTGTTGTACAGTAACTGAGGCTGTGAATTAATGGGGCCCTGTCCCTTGTGTGCTATATTGCCATGCAATCTTGGAGAGGCCCTATCACAGTAAGCCAATACGTGAGAGGAACCTGATGTCTCCTGAATGTGAGCGTGTGGTGTTACTGTCCTGGTAATTTGGGGGATACACAGAAGCAGATTGTCGCTGTTGAAAGGCAAGGAACCTACAGATGTTGTGTGCCTTATCCACATTTTAAGGAAGGATGCCCTATGTCCTTTAGAGTGCCCTACAATTTGCATGCCCCATTCCTCACGAAGCACGAGTGAGCTTTCGGCTGCCCACGTTCCTGTGTTCTGGCACAAAGCCTTGTGCTGGGATCACACAGGGTAAAAGTAAAAGCTGAGACTCGTTCCTTTTATTCATGTACATCTCCTCATCAATGCATCTAAGCTTCTTTTTTACCCAGTGTTTGTGGTGTTTTAACTAACTGTGTATGCTTTAGTTCCTCCATTTTCTTAATGTGTTTGAAATACATTCATGTGCATCTAAGTATGGAATTGCCCTGACACAGCTGTTCCAGACACTGAGGAGAGAATAGGCGTTTATAGAAGAAAACTGCATATATATATATATATTTGATAGCTAGGAATATCTATCTGTTCTGGGCTGTCAATGTATAATCCATGTTTTAAACTCTTCAGCTCCAATGGCCCATGCTTGCTTTTATAAAAGCTGAATTATAATTACTTCCTTAGTTATGGCTCCAAAACTTTGCATTTTTACAGGGTAGGCTAAGCTTGGAAGGTAAAACCACTGCTTATTACTCAAGATACTTTCAAGGCAGAGTCTTAACAGAATTGGATAACTGGAGGAGGAAAAGGGAACATCTGCCCTGAATAGTAGTATGTATCGTTGCTTAAAATGAAAGAACTATCTAGACATATGTATGGGAATATTTTTCCTGGCTACTTTTTGTCATAAGTTATGCATCATGAAAGAGGCAGAAACACCTTAGAACTGGGAGAAGGGAGAAACAAAATGCCAAACACAGTCTGAGCAATCTTTTGAAATGCCACCCCTCAGGAAAAGCTAGAGAAAGGAAAAAAGCTTTTTCCCAGGCAATCCACTGACAGGCAGAGGGTTTACAGATGCAAACAAAGGTGTTACTTCTTGTTTCACAGCTGATGCTCAAGGATACAGGCTTTTGTGTGGTCTTTGTAGATCAAATGCAGCAGAATCGCCCACATCAGTGATTAATTCTCTGCTTCAAAACAGCCAGTACTGTCATGAGGTTTTTTTGTTAATTGGTGAGGTTAAAACAGTAGCATTACATTACCACTTACCAGGTACAGGAACAAATACTTAATGTAAGTGCTCTTAAACTCACCCCCCAAAAAATAAACATTCCACAGAATATTTTGGATCTGGCCCTATAAACCCAGGCTAGCATTCTTTAATTTGAAAACAACCTTCCTGAAATAAATGGGAGCCCTTCTTGCGTTCAGATAGCATATATTTACTTAAGCTGATTCCGATAATGATTTGAAAGGTAAGATCTATTGATTACTTTGATAAATTTGCCTCAATTTTTTTATTTCTACCTCTTAATAAAAATATTTCTGGGAAAGTGATCATCCCAGCAACTCTCTGGATACACGTTTTTGGCACGTGTGTCTATGATGTGATCACAATACAACTTCATGTCAAGTGCTGAAAGTGAATTTAAGAAGTGTTGTTCAGAAAGGGAGAACTGGGAGGTAAGGTGGAGTCCAACAGGCTGGTGTGACGCTGTTAGCATGCGCGGTGTGACAGATTGTGTCCTCTGTGTATGCAAGGGAAGGTGAGGCTCCGGCTGTCTCTAAACTTTAAAACAAAAAAAAAAAACCCCACACTGTCATTGACTATTAAGTACTCTGTAGAGGAAACTCTCTTCATGTTAGCCAGAGCTCGTAGAGGTGGGAAATCAAAGGGGCCACCTGGGGAACAATCCTGGCCATTGCTTCAGTGTGCCTCAGTCCCTGGATATTGCTCAGAAATATTTCTCTGTTTCAGTGCCAAGCAGGATAGCTTCTGCTTTAAACAGACCTTTCACCAAACCTTCCTGATTTGTGCACTGGAAAAAGGCATTTATGTGCCTAAGTATGATCTTGGCTGTGAGCTAGCCATGGGGCAGAGCTGCTTCTCAGCCTGTGTTTGTATTTGGGTGCCACACGATCAGATCAGTTCAGTGCCGTGCGTTTGTGGCCAAGCTAAAGAGGCGCTGTGCATGCACATAACTCCCACGGATGCTGCACGGGCACTACCTCTGAGCTTCTGGAAGCTTTTAGCCATGGCGAAGTTCTGAGAGAGGACTCGCAAAGTATGCCTGATAGTACCGAAGGCAACTCGATACTGCAGGCTGAACTTCTCAGGGAATTTTGTCTCCTTGTTACTTTAGATGCTTCTGAAATTCTGTTGGTCTCTTAGCAGTGTTTTATTACTGCAAAGCCATGAATCATCCAGTGATTACAGTGTGGCGAGTCACAGCTGATGAGGAGGGAAGGGGGAATTAGAACCAGTGTGCGTTCTGGGCAAAGATCTCTTTATAGCACTGGAGAAG